AAATAGTCTATCCTTAAACTTTCTTACTAGACTATTTCATTTCTAGATATTTCCTTTGACTACATGATTGATTAAGTTGATGTGTATTTTAAGTCACAAAAATAAAACTACTTTTATTCAACTTTATAATTATAAATAAAATAAAGAACACATAACATGACTTTTTCTAAAGTTTGCATGTGATATCTCACATGCAAAATGGTAGAGTAGTTGCAAACATTATAAACATGGGTAGGCCCCACCAATGAAGCAAATTTGCTCCACTTATATCTTTATATCCTATTAATAAAACAACGATCAAATCTCTATATAATAACGACGTTTTTTAACAAATAATATAATGAAAATATTACTATATAATCTCAAAAATGATGTGACTTCAATTTTTATCATTCATCGTTTCTTTTAAATCTTGAGTTAATTATTTTTTTTATTACAACTTTGAACTCATCATTGATTAAAAACACACAAAAATAAAATAAACTGTCACATGCATTATCGGAATAGTCAAAGATTTTTTTCTTCAAGTAGGTAATTATATTAAAAAAAAAACAAACGTGTCACTCTTTTATTGGAGAGACTAATAATTTAATTTAGTGAGTTGCTTAAGCAGCCTGCGTTGGCTAATAATATAGTTTGATCGGTGGAATAAAAATAATAATTTTAGCATATTTTATTATATAATTAATTTTAAATTTTATTTGATTTCAAAATGATATTATTTTCGTAATATTAATATATAAAAAGTGAAATAACATAATTTCATGAGATATTTTTGGAATCATGTCCTTTTTTTCCTTATCACATAACCTCATGGTGTTATGACAATAATGATAATCAACTTTTAATTATTTATATTTGTATCCTATAGTGGAGAACAACGTGTAAATATTATATTCTATGAACTCTGATAAATATAAAATAAAATAAAATATACTTTCTCGTTCTAAAAAAGAATGATCTTATTTTCTTTTTATTCTGTTTCAAAAAGAATGATCCCTTTGTTTTATAACACTTTAATTTTAACTTTTCAGGTGGCATGTTTAAGACCACAAGATTAAAGGGTATTTTGATACATTTGACATAACTTTAAATTAGAATCACAAGATTAAAAAATCTTCTTTCTTTTCTTAAACTTCGTTGCAAGTCAAACTAGATCAATCTTTTTAAAACGGAGAAAGTAATATATATGTTTGTCAAGTTCATGAAATATTGGATGTACTTTCACTATGTACTGTTTTTGGTTATGTTGATTTGACATAGACCAAGTAGTACCTAAATATAATTGACCACAAAGGGATACCTACTTGTTATTGAAATAAATAAATAAATACAAACAATATATATATATATATATATATGAGTATATAATTTACGTGATTTTAGACAGAAGATTATAAAAGTCATGAATTGAAAGTAATTAATAGTGTGTTGTCTCAATATATGCTTATTATAGTAGTTGTATTATTTCTATAGTTTGTTATTTGTTGTTTTTCGCATTCTGTTTATTATATTATTTTATTGTAATTTCGGTTTAAAATGCTTTATTACATTCTATCTCCATTATATTTTACTTTGTTATATTTAAACACAATTAAAAATATGATTGCACTCATTTTTTTAAGCCGAAATTTAAAGCGATAAGATTTACATATTTCGCTCTTTTTAACTTCATCAATGAAAATATACTCGTATATAAATGGTTTAAAATATTTTTTTCCTTTTTAATGAGTCTTATAATAAGTGAATCAAATTAATCGAAATAGAAAATAAATATTTCGTACGAAATAAAAAAATAAATAAAAACAAGTGAGATAAGTAGAGTATCATTTCTATGACAAACGTAAAAGGAAAGAAAATAAAAAAAAACAGATCAAAAATCAACATCATATTGTTGCCCCCAACTTGCCAATTTGCTATTCAATAATAAACCTTTGGCCTTTTATTAGTAACAATAATATTTTATTTTCGATATTTATATTTAAGTCTGATTAATCTGAATTCACACAAAAATAAAATTCATTCATTCATGAAGTTTTCTAAATTTTTTTTTTCATATCTCAAAACTTAAACTCGAAAATTCTGATTAAATAACGAGTCCCATTTACCACACGCCACGTTCTTTGGTGTTATTCGTAACAATAATTATTCTTTTGATTTTTTATCTTGTATTTAATATCATTGACTAATTTAAACTCGCACGAGATACAATCCATTCAAAAATAACGTTTCCTATCTTTTAATATCCGAAACTCATAATTCAATCCTCTAATTAACAAAAAAAAATTATTCACCGCACTATATTCTTCGATATTATCGTAACAATAATAACAACAAGAAGAAAGAGAGAGGAAAGAGAGTCTCTCTTTCTTTCCTACCCACCATTATTTCTCCCAAATATCTCTCTCCTAACAAATTCAAACCAAACACATAGCCAAAATAAAACCAAAAACTTGTTGAAAATTTTATAGAAAAAATTTCTTTCTATATTTTTATTTTTTTTTTTGAAAAGAATTTTATGAAAATGGAAACTATGTACTCAAAAACTTGTTTTATGGTAGATGATGATATTCTTAATTTCTCTTTAGATGATGATGAAGAAAAATATCAAACTTCTTCATCTTCTTTTGAATCATCAAACACCCTTGGATTTCGTCAAGATGATCACAACCCTTCATTTCCTGTAAGTAATTTGATTGACTTCTTTTTTCATGTTATTTTTTTTTTCATTAGAATGGCATTTTCGCGAATAAATTTAGAAAGAGGGATAATTTTATTTGGTGTAAACACTCGGTGCGAATAATTTTGTCTCGAAAAAAAATAGTAAGATACCCTTCTTGGTTAGATGACACAAAAAAGTGGAAGCGCTTGAGAATACCATGTTTGGACGATTTTACCCTCGACTCCAAAGGAGTCATTTGGAACACAAAAATTAAGGATTATACTAATATCTAAATAACTAATTTCAAGATTATTACATCCTGCTATTTACTAAAATGATGATTTTAGTATTATATATCAAAATATTCTTATTTATTTCATTTCACATATTAAGCGAGCTCTTATAAATTTATTTGTGGCTTGTTTGTTGATATTTTTATGAACCTATTTTAAAAAGTGAAAAAATTAAAATTTATAATGATATTTCTTTAACATGCATACTATTTAATATTATGTGATTATAGGTAAAATGAATTAAGAATAAAAAAAATTTAAATTATTTCTAAATTTAGAAAAAACTTGAGATAAATGAAAAAATAATTTCAAATAAATTCAAATGGTGGGGGTAAATACTAGGGGTACTTTTGGAAATAAAAGAACAGGGGTACTTTTGGAATTAAAAAATATGACCGACATATATTTATAATTGGACGTTGGCAGTCACTACAAGTGAGCTGTACGAATAATTACTATGTATCTGTTTTCCACTTGCATTACATAAAATACAAAATGACGTTTTTGTCCCTATGCATATATTCCTTTGAAATTGTTTTTTTTTTGGGTACAATATTAAAATAATTAGATATTTTCAAGTTTATTATAAGATACAAATAGAAAAATAAAATAAAGTTTATTTTATTCTCTTTTTTCGAACTGCTTTGATTTGTTTGGACTCGAGTAACGGGTCTGTTAGAAATGATTCTTCTATCTTCTAGAATAGGATAGGAGTTTAATAGGATGTGAGTTTAAGAAAGAAAACTTTTAAGACGTAACGAAAGAAAACTTTTAAGACGTAATTTCCGTTGGAAGTAAATTCCCAATAAAATGTCTATTGAAAAATTCATGTTTTTTAAAAAAATAGTGTTTGTAAACTTCGAGTTAATCAAACAACACCATATAAATTGAAACGGAAGGGATAATATAGTAAGTTTATTATTCCCAAGAAGTGAAAAACCAGAGGTGATTATAAATGTTTATTTTCAGCTCATTGAGATTTAGCGGCAATTAATTTACCAATTGCCATTAAAAATATATTTTTAGCGGTAATTAACACTCTTTGTATATGTTCCTAAAGGCTTTAGCGATATTGAATCTAATGACACTTAGTTAATGCCGATAAAGACTTTAACACTCTTTAATAATGTCTCTATTTATTGCCGTTTGAAGTTATTTTTGTTTCTGTGCTACTCATAAGAGTTGCTTGAGTTGAGAGTTTATCGAAAACAACCTCTCTACTACTATTTTCCTCAAGGCTTAGACTGCACTTGTGAGATTACACTAGATATGTTGCTCGTAAGCGTATTAACGGGATACATTTTGCAGGATTATGTAGAGGAAGAATTGGAATGGCTTTCAAATAAAGATGCATTTCCAGCAGTAGAATTTGACCTATTCTCTGATCATGTCATATTTGATCACCACAGCCCAAATTCAGTACTGGAAAACAACAACAACAATTGCAACGTAAATCTCAAGGACAACGCGTTCACAAGCCACGCCTCTAGCCTCCTACAAGTACCCATGAACCACCCCGTTGGTACGCGAAGCAAGAGAAGGCGAAGAATCGCCTTGCAGTGTGACAACTCATGTGTATGGGGTAACCAAGTGAAGTTCAACAACACTAGTACTAAGCAAGGACTAACATTGCTCAAAATATCAATGGCTAAAGCTAAAAGAGGTACTAGCATTGGTAGGACGTGCCAGCATTGTGGGGTCGATAAGACCCCACAATGGCGTGCAGGTCCTACAGGACCTAAAACATTGTGTAACGCTTGTGGGGTCCGATATAAGTCTGGAAGGTTGTTCCCTGAGTATCGCCCCGCGAATAGTCCTACTTTTTCAGTTGAATTACATTCAAATTCTCATAGGAAAGTTTTGGAGATGAGAAAACAGAGGATTTAAATCAAGTATATAGGTCAGGGCTATTTATAGTTTTTAAATTTTTAGCACAATTAGTATAGAGTCTAGGTTTATTTTAGGTTTACTAAAACCATATTATTTGTATTGATTTCCATCAAAATCTACTAGGGTATTTACATGTTAACTTGGTTTGATCATGGTTTTTTTCATTTATTTTTCTTTTTTCAACCAATTAGATGTATTGTTAGTTAGAAGCTCAGATGAAAATTCTGTCTCCGTCACTAGCTGACTTTTAAGTCTTGCATCTCTACTTTTTTGTCTAACGTCTACATGAGACATCTTTACTTCAATGTGGCGCAGTGGTTAAAAAAGTGAGTGAAAATGCTCAAATCACAGGGTAGGATGGAGAATATTGGTGATTTTTCGTCATTCTACTCATAAACACCAAAACTAGTTCGATAAGTACTTAGTGAAATAGTCAAGGTACGTACGTGAAAGAAAAGAAAGCAAATACTACTAACAAACAGCTTCATTACTTCACTTTTTTCTGGTCACTACCTACATCTGAACTGTGTAAACATCAAAACTAGTTCAAACTACATATCGATAAGTGACATAACGACCTGCAGTCTCACTTGGTCTGATAATTTTCACGACTTGGCCACGTTTTAGTCCATAATATCTAGCAATTGGATCGGTGATCTGAATTCGAGGAAGCTGTTGTTTCAACAACACGAAAAATATTAGTCACTCGATGAGATAGAAAAACTGATGAGAATAATCAACAAAACGATTAGATCCTCCAAAAGTAATGCACTCTGGAGGATGCAACAAGGGTAAGGCCGCATTTTTTGGAGGGTCCAAGCAACATAGGTCAACATCGTTATTCAAATGCCAATAATACAAACTAAGACGAACCTGTGATTCTTTCACTGTATATTGTTCCAATAAACTTTTCTTTTCTTCCTTGGTAAGTGGCTGATGCTCAGGAACTATAGCATGATTTTTAACGTTTACTATCAACTCAGCTTCCTGACATATCAAACACGTAACTGCTTATTTATAGTATCAGTTTCAATACTTCAAAAAACGCCTTATCAACTAGTTATAATCAGCCCTACTACTTGAGTAGTAGCTAGACAACAACAACAAAAGTACCAAAAGGATGAAAGGTCAAAAAACACACACCTAAAATATAACAATTTTTGAGTTCCGTACCTGAATTATCAATGTGCAAGTTTTCTAACTATCTAAACTATCACCAACTATTTATCAAAATACACCCTCAATTATCAATCTCGTACCTGAATTATCATGTGCGAGTTCCCTATATCCCTAAACTCAAAACACACCTCAACTATCATAATTTTCAGGTTACAGAGTTTTCTAGCCATCTGCACTATCACCAGCTATTTATCAAAATAACCCTCAACTATCAATATGGTACCTAAATTATCAAGTGCGAGTTCGCTACATACCTGAACTCAAAACACATCTCAACTATAAAAAAAAAAAAATCAAGTGAGAGAGTTTCCTAGCTACCTGGACTATCACCATATATTTATCAATATACACCCTCAACTATCAATATCATACTTGAATTATCATGTGCGAGTTTCCTAAATACCTGAACATAAAACACACCTCAACTATCAAAATTATCAGGTGAGAGTTTTCTAGCCACCTGAACTATCACCAGCTATTTATCAATATACACCATCAACTATCAATCTCGTACTTGAATTATCAGGTGCGAGTTTCCTACATAATTGAACTCAAAACACACCTTAACTATAAAAATTTATCTGGTGAGAGAGTTTCTTAGCCACCTGAACTATCACCAGCTATTTATCAATATACGCTTCAACTATCAATTGTTTCCTTTTTCTATCTGAACGATAGGTTCATTTCAAGTAAAGTAAGTAGAAACAATTAGTCACCTGGAAGACCTCCAAGTTTAACATTGTAGATACTTCACTTATGAATTGATCAGATTTGGGTGTCAATTTTTGTTTTACAACAAAAATTGCTTGGGAGACATCTTCTTGTCTTAGACGTTCAGCATAAGGTCTCATTTCCTTAACACCAACCTTTGCTCCTTCAGGGAAGAACACATATATCTGCAATCAATAAACTACGAAACTTCATTTGTTTGTTCGGATTTTGACTTAACACGACATTTAGAAAAACAAAATGTACCAGAACATTGTGATTTTAAACATATGGAAACAGGAAAAGAGACGTTCTTTTTTAAAAGATTTTTAGAACGCGCACCTTACTCTCATCATCGTTGCGTTTGGCTTTGAGAATTTCTAGGTCTTGTCTCTTCATGTTTACACCATACTTGTGAAGAAATTCTTGTTTTGACATTTTAATTTCAAATTCTTCAACAACATAGCCTCTATCATTCAACATTTCCATCACAGTTTTACGAACTTTGTAAAGTATCGTGACCTCGTGTTCTGATAGAGTACTCATCTTGACGTCCTACTAAATTCAAAAAAGTTTGATATTCGTTAAAGCAAATACGAATAGCAATCAACACATGATTAGACACATGTTATCTTCCACATGTAACACAATTAATCTCCCACTCAAAAAACAATATTTAAGCCTAAAACTATGAATTTTGTTCTATTTTTAGTAATTTTACAATTATAATATTCATTATCAAACTCAACTCCATACTCGACTTAAGTAAAACATAGACAGTAATAATTGTATTTACAACAACAAAAACAACAAACCTAAAAATTCCACGGGTGAGGTGAGGTCCGAAGAGGAGAGAATATATGCAGACCTAATAACCCTAACTCGTAGAGATAGAAAGACCGTTTAATTGTGTTTACAACAACAATAATAATATACTCATTAATCCAACAAATAGAGTACGAGAAGGATATAGTATATATAGACCTTAGTTATCCCTAATTAATTAATAGAGACAGAAACGATTTAAGTCAAAGTAAAGTTCATATATAATTGTGTTAACCACAAATAAAAGTTACAATTGGATTCCGTCGGTGAAAAATACGTTACGTTATGGAGAAAATATATGGGTTATTAATTAACTTCAATAAACTCCCCTATTTTATTATTAAAAAAATATTTTTCCTTATTTATTAAATAAATGTAAAAAATTATATCACAATTTGAGTCAAATACAAATTTGGACTTAATTTTAGATATAGTATCTACTAACCCATGATTTTGGGCTAAATCTCAGGAGAGAGTCCTAATTAAGTAAGACAAAAAAAGACCTTAATAAAATCTCATTTAGCTGTTATAAATAAAAATATTTTAAAAAATTGGATTAATAATTTTATAAACCAAAAAGGAGTTTATTTATTATATGGACTTAATTTGTTGCAAAGTTGAGATCATATAATTTAGATTTATATTTTAGGAGATTTTCATAACAATTATAATTTCTTGATTAATTGATTTTTAATTATGAATAGTGTCTTGATCAGCGTCAATACATTTTTAGAAAATTATTAATATAAAAAACTTACTCGTAAAGATTATAAAACTTACATTTTAAGAAAATTATTAATATAAAAAACTACTCGTAAAGATTATAAAATTTATTAGTTCAAGAGGAAAACATTACGAAAAGACTGTGAATTTCATGGATATTAGAATTTATTTTTTTAAAGTGTTTTTATTAGAAATATTTTTCAAAATAAATAGATTTTGAAAACATGACTAAATATTATAATCTTGTTTTGAGTCAAATATGTCTTAAATTTAGGATTTGCCATAAATTTTCAATGGATTTAATACAACAAGAAGATGATGTCATATTAATAGCTAGATTATTCTTCAATATAATGTGGGAGTCATTTGCTCTTTAATTAATCCTCTTATAACATGCACTATCCATCACAGCCTTAGTTTGTATTATATTGGTGAATTTCTTTTACTTTTAATTACAAGTTTTCGATTCAATTTAAATGTAAATATCAGATATTGGATAGAGAATTATAAAAAAACACTCCTCATCTTACACTCACGTGTTGCTCTTATTTGTTTCTTGTTCTTTTCGTGACCAATAATATAATTTTTACTATTCATTTTATGTTACTTGGCTTTTATATTCATTTTATGTTACTTGACTTAAATGGATCGTATGCCTCAACAAGTGCTGTTAAATTGTTCCATCCAAAAACACATATATGAGTATGATGAGTAATATCACCACAAAATGTAAAATATGAACCTTGATGTGTCAAAGTTTCACTATTTTGAGGTTCTCCAATTTTTGATTTTATATCAAATGTCACAATTGGATTAAGACTAGTAGGTATATCATCAAAAAAATAAACAATAGGTTGATTAGAAATTGAATAAAATGATGGCAAAAGAGATAAAATTAAAGACAAAACAAGAAGGAAAATCAAGGGGGAGTTGATAGTATTAGAAGACATTGTTTTTTTCTTAAAGTACTTCTGATTTAAAAAAAAAATGAAAAAAATATAGTTTTAAAAGTTGACCAAATATTATAAACTGAAATTCATTTAATTTAATTTGAAAGAAAGTAGTCTAATTTTAGTCAAATTTGTCTTAAATTTATAGCAAGAAGATCATATCTTATTAATTACTAGATTTTGCTTTCACCATGAATGGATAATATATTTACTTTCTCCATTTTATTTTACTTTGACTTTTATATTACAAATAATTTTATTAGCTTATTTTAGCAAACATCATTAAATATTTAGATTACTATGTTATAATACTCTATTTGAATACACCTTCACTTTTACATTGAAAATTATTTTTTCTTAAGTTTTATTATCTTATTTACCAAATATCATTATATATTCAGATTACTATGTTGTAATACTATATTTTAATACACCTTCACTTTTACATTAAAAAATTATTTTTTCTTAAATTTTGTGTAACCACCCGCTAGGTAGTTTTGAGAATTAGGATTATTTTGACTCTTTATGAAAATTTAAAGGAATATTTTAAACTGTTTGGTAACCATGTTGATAATTTTTTGTTAAATAAGTATTATAGTTAATGGAAAGCCACATGATTAATGGATATTTGTGAATTTTAGTTTTACGATATTATAGTAAATAAAAAATGCATTCTTTAATTTTAAATCAAATGTCACAACTGGATTAAAACTAGTAGGTATGTCATAAAAAAAAAACAATAGGTTGATTAGAAGTTGAATAAAATATTTTTAATGTAATTTGAAAATATTTTCTAACTTTGAGCACATCACTACTTTTGTGCAAACAAAATGTAATTTTAATATGCTACTTATTTTCTTATAATTGTTACATGTAAATAGTTATTAGAAATTTAAAGTTTACATATGAGTTAGTCTAAAATTATTTTCTTCAATTCCAAAGACTTTTAAACTAAGCCATGCCCTAATTATATTTTCTTAGGTCTATCTGTGTTTGATTTATTCTAATTTTACGATATTATAGTAAATAAAAACTGCATTCTTCCTAATGTCTTTTTTTTAATTGTAATTTTACAAAAAATAATAAAAAGAAAATAAAAGTATATATGAAGAAATGCTCGTGAATGGTTCCATTCAACATTACATACAAAAACATCATCAATAACCCTAGCCTTGAGTAAAAATTGTGAACCATGAATATCCATTTCCCCTCTAGCTACGTGGCGTCCACTTTTTTTTTTTAATTTAATTTCAAGTTTCACAATTGGATTAAGATTCTGAGGTATGTCATTAAAAAAAGCAACAATAGGTTGATCTACATCTGCAAAGGAATAAAATGAAAACTGATACAAAATTAAGGACGTAAAGAAGAATGAGAATCAAAGGAGAATTGGTAATATTAGAAGCCATTTGTGATAGAATATATTTTTTTTTTCGAAAATATAAATAGATTTTAAAAAGTTGACCAAATATTATGATTAAATTTCATGTAATTTAATTTGAAAGAATTAGTCAAATATGTCTTTAAATTTATAGCAAGAAGATCATATATTATTAGTAACTTAAAGATGAACTTTTTTAAATTTTATTTGCTTATTTAGCAATTATCATTAAATAACTTTTACCTCTAATTTTTTGCTTCTCAAATGACTCTTTTATATGTTATATTAGTTAATAGGGAAAATGCACAAGTACCCCCTCAATCTATGCCCGAAATTCCAGAGACTCACTTATACTATACTAAGATTCTATTACCCCTGAACTTATTTTATAAGTAATTTTCTACTCCTTTTCGACCTATGTGGCACTAGCTTGAAAAAAAAGTCAACCAGCGTTGGGCCCACAAGATAGTGCCACGTAGGTCGAAAAGGAGTAGAAAATTATTAATAAAGTAAGTTCAGGGGGTAATACGACCTTATTATACTATAAGTGTGTCTCTGAGATTTCGGGCATAGATTGAGGGGGTACTTGTGCATTATCCCTAGTTAATACTATACTTTGATTAGAGTTAATTACACTAATCTTTCTTATAATATGACTTAATTTTGAATATTCCTCATGTATTTTAAAATCAAACACTTGCACCTTTTATGATATGTATATTTGTTACACACCATATGAAGTATATGTGAAATATAATTATTCAAAGATATTTAGAGTTTATGAATAAAATATTTTTAATGTAATTTTAAAATAATTTGAAGTGAAAGAATAAATAGAGAAATAAAAATAAGATACTACTGTACAATAAATATAATAAAATCAAATTGTAGATCCTTTGTTCGAGTATAAAAATTGATCGAGTTCACTGAATTCAAGGTTAAAATCAAATGTTTTAAAATTTGCAATTAGAAAAGAATAAACATATAGTTTATAGAGATAAAATTGAAACAAATTACTACAATTATTGTTCTTATTCTTTTTTCTTGATGAAAATTAATTATTTATGAAAAGTAATTTATTTTTAATAAAAAAACTTTACCTAAATTAAATATTAATGAAATTGTGATTTCTTTTATCTTGTGAAAAATCTTTTTTTCTCTCTCTCTTTAATTTTTTTTTTCTGTATTCGTACTTTGCAACGCATATTCGAGAGTGACGCTTCCAACAGAATTTTCTCCATATTCAGAGCTCGAGTCTAGACCTTCGATTAAGGGTGAATCCTCCCGCTAATGTACTACAACTAATGTTGATGGAGCCTATAGTATACATATCTGATTTTGACTGTAAATTTTTTATTCAAGGTGAAAGGAATATATCGTCTCAAAAGTATGTAAATCTATATACTATAGAATTCAATAATGTATTAAAATGAAAAAAAAAAATTCAATGGACATAAATCATTAATTGTGATAAAGGTCTTAATGAAATAAATTTCATAAAATGATGACTAAACTATTTTTTTTTTGTCATACGAAATCACACAATACTACACTTATATAATAAAAAAATCACAATGACAAAAAATATAACCTTACAATACACTAACATATATTTTCTTATTTCATCTGAATTACAGAAGACACATTAACACATTCAATATTTTAACTTATTTTATTAGAAAACTCGACTTATAGCAACATCAAACATTCACCAATTAACCAACAAACTTAAAATTAAAATAACACATTTATTCTCAAATTAAAAACAAAGTCCATCTTGTGTTGCATACCAATAACAAATTTGTTCATGACAAAAAGCTTCATCTCTTCAATATTGGAACAATTTAAATGAGGGCAACTTTCACATATAGCAAATAAAAAATTTATATTTGTATGTTATAGCAAAGTTTGCATAATTGTGCTCCATAGCAAACATAAAAACTGTATAATTCGCTATACATATACAGTTAAAGCAAATTGTATAAAACGAAGTGTATAAAACAAGAAAGAGAAAGACATTTGGGCAGAGAACTGTATAAAAACGAAGTATAAAACGAATTGTATTATTATAAGTATATAGAACGATTATA